TTATTACTATAGTATATATATATATATATATATATATATATATATATATATATATATATATATATATATATATATATATATATATATATATATATATATATATATATATATATTATTATATATTGCATTTGTCAATGCACTGCTTGTCTATAGTATATATTTAAATACTCCATACCTCATCTGGGTCCCAATGACGCACACAGACACTGAGATTTCTATTCTGCATTTTGTACTGAAATAAACACAAAACTGCGCTCCGTGAATTGTATATTTTATTTGACCATCTCTTACTATTATAATCAGAGTGTCTTGATTCGAAGACGCACTATTCGAAGTACCAACTAGTCGGCGTACCACCAGAACGCCTGTGAATCATTCATACAAGTATCACCTGCAATACAATGTTGAGCTAATTCTTTTACTTGGATTTTGATCCTTTCTGCACTCTGGCAGGATCATGATGCCATGACAGCCAAGTCAGTAGAGCAATAAGGGGGTCTGCCAGCACAAAGAATACAGACACTGAGGTGGGAGCTCCCGTAAAGTATCCGAATATGATCAGTGGGGGTAGTATTACTAAACGATCAAACACTGTCGTCGCCAAAAGGAGTTCGGTATTTGACTTCGCCATCTGCATGTAGAAGTATCCAATAATCACCAGGGCAGCACCGACCATCTGGAACATGCTGCTCTCCTCTACCGTAGGCACTCCGTGACCTATCATCTGCAGAACCATATCAGATGCGGCCATGAAGGATATACCAAGTGTTACGTATATGTACCCTTGCAGTAGCAGAAACTTGTGAGACCGGGTTAGAGGCGTGGGGTCAACCGGTGGGGTCGACAAGTGCATGAGTTCCCAGAAGGTGTCCATTAGTCCATCTTGTGCCGCCATACTATTTAAATTCGTTGAGTGTTGAGTGCGTGCTTTTGATTGCGATCCACACTTTCAATGTGCGTCTAGTTTATGTATTCAAAAAAAAATGGATAGAATACTGAAAACACCTGTGCGTTGCGTTCACATTATATTTTAAATAGTTCTTTTGCCACTCACACTGTAAATACATAAAATGTTAAAGAAAACCTAGCTATGGAGATCGCAGATTTTCCTGCCTTCCTCTGCCAGCGTCCAGGTCCAGAGTACAGAGGGTCATGCTTTTTACTTCTGCTTTTTTTAAATATGCGCAAATCAAAAGTTAACCCATGTCTTTGACTTTTGAGAGTTTCGTCTTCAACGTTTTGTTTGTTTGCTCTTGTACGCTTTTTGCATAGCCTTTTTAATAAAAAACAAACACAGGGTTATGCTTTTTGGCAATAAATACATCCGATGATCCGCGGTCAAGAGACCATTTTTTTAAGTTTTTTGAAGGAGTATTTCTGTAATAAATGGCAAAACGTTTATCAGTAACGTAAAAATGTTCTTGTTTTGCATAACAAAATGTACGAGAAACGAACTGTGAATATATTAGTGACTCTGTGAAAGTGACTCTGTGTGAGCCTGGATGACTGCGGTCAGCTGTGACTTGTGTGTGAGCTGCCCGACACTAACGTTTAACGCTAACTTGGCGTCACTCGTATGTGAAAATGGCTCCAGGTACAGGTTGAAGTCGGAAGAGAAAACTACGTTTTTACGTTGAGTAGGACACATAAACCATCCGGATAAAGACAACTTGGTTTAGATACTTAATCAGAAATATGGTTTGTGCCAAATCCTCTAAACAAAAAATACCATAGCCTTCAATGAAACATAATAATAAATATATCGAATGGGCATATCAGCGCGTACCGTACCTTCCGTTGCGAGCATAATATATTAGTGTATAGGGTATATATATGTGCATGCTCACGTTCACACAATAAATAAGCAAGAGTGTAGACTGACCAGAGTCCGCTCTTACAACAAATCCATTACAACATATATCAAGCTTATTATAGATACTTAACGCCCAGTTCAATACAATCTATACAATATGGGTAAAAGTGAGATCCACCAGGTTCTTGAGGCGAAGCCAATCTACTGCTTCGCCTTCAACAAGGATCGCACTGGTAGGCTAGCGTTTAAATGATATGGTTGGTGTTGTGTTTAAAAACTGTATTCATAATATGATGTACAGACAATATCGTTAAATGCAGTGCCATCCCTCCCTGGTGGACGATGGCACTGGGTGATAGAATATTTCAGAATGATTTACAGTAAATTGTCTTTTATGGTTCGCTTCTGCATATACGAATATATAAATATGCGTATTCTGAACTGACACATATGTACATACATGCAAATTAATTACGAAGAATCACACAGGCCGCAAACTATAGATATGTTTACAAGTGTATTTGTACTCGTACAATGAAAGTATTTCATAGA